AACCCATTCCTTGTACCTTCCAGTATCCATTTAGATTATTTAAATCACAGCATTAGTATTCAGTCTGGTAATTACAGTTGCTTTGGATTTGGCACAATCAGACTGCACATACGTTTAAAACACCACTCACTTTAAAGGCCTATGTTAGACACAGTGGTTTTATTAATAAAGGAATATAAAAATAAGTGAAGCAACAAAGTCATCTTGTATTTGACAATTCTCACATTTCTCTCCAGGAGATAAGGACCCTTGTGGATGCAACGCTTTTGAAACTGCAGAAGTAAAAGGAAAACTTTTTGTATAAGGACTTGTACACTTCTGGTTCAGACATAAAAGTTTGGATCCTCCAGAAATATTTTGAAAGATTTTTCTCACCAGAAAGACTAATATTGGGCCATTAATAATACATAAACAGTTATATATTCTATTGGTTTAGGTACCACAACTGTGAGACTAACAGCGATAATTAAGAATTCACCTTACTTTGTAGACTTTAAAATATTTGAAATAAAGATTTTTAGTCTTGAGAGTTTCAGCAAAGTGATGACAGTTTATTCCTTCATCTATTGTAATTTAAAAACACTTTTTTTAACTTACTCAGTGTGTATTTCCTTTGCAGAAATTGAACTGATTAAGTACTTCACAAATGCAGGCATTTGTTAGAAGTACTGTTTAAAGACAGTAGTAGGCATTAGGCAAGTTATGATCCAGGAAGGGGATACTAGTGGTATTCTTGTACGGCAGCAGTCACGTACCAAGTTAGGAAGTATTGCCTTTTGATTTTTATGAAGTAGCTGCTGTCAGTTCTGGGTTCTCTGTAAATTTGTCCTGGAATGTGACATGAAACCAGCAATGCTGCAGATAAAAACACAGTGTAGAATCATTCAAGTTTTACAATTTTTGTTGTTAGATTTGTTCTTAACAGCAGCTTCCCATTTCTTTTTCTCTAAGGTGTACAGTCTCATAGCTGCTTGTGCATCCTGAATCTAAAAGAGAACAGAACAAATAGGAGGCTTAATGAAACATAGCTTTCATGGTTTAAGAACATTATTGCTAATAAGCAGCTAAATCTTCCATCATCTAATATATCCTTTCAATTAACATTTCATAATCTCTTTCTAAATTTAAGTTCTGTGAGTAGTGGGAAGGGATGAATGTGTTCAGAATGCATGGCCTACCACAAGGCTACACACTTCTCTTTCTGATTGTGACTTGGAAAGCTATAATGAAAAAGCACTCTTGATACAGTATCTTGGAGATACCCTCACAATTTGCCCTGCTTTTTCAGTTCATTCCTCTATTATTATCCTCCTGTCCACTGAAAGAAAGGAACTAACTGCTGAGATTCAGTAGTAGGCTCCCACACTATTTTACTCAACCTGCCACAGTGCAGCAGTGCAGAATGCTGCTTTTAAGGTAAGCAGCCAATACTTTCCCCCAGGGGATTTTAAAATAATAAGAACTAATATTTAAACAAAATACAGCTGACTTGTGCAAATTAAGTTTATGAAAATAAGGAAATAATCCAAGTGGTATGAGACACATAAGAGTAAGCAAGTTTAGATCACAATCTTACTGCATGCTGGTATCCAAGCAGAGCTTGCTAACTTTCCCTGAGAATTGAAGCCACAGCATTCTGGATTGAACCCAGATCCTAGAGCTAATGTGTAGTACCTTGCCGGTCTACCCAAAAATGTATGTTCTGCTGAGATACATACCGAGCAGTGCTCTGATGTCTGCACTTGGACATTTAGCAGTCTCTCACAGAGCAGTTTCAATGATGGCCGTGCAGTCTAGAAATAGAAAAGATAAAATCATGCCGTCTCACACTACTTGAAAAATATATAGGTGTGTGTATGTATATATAAAAAAAATACTAGTTTAAGTGTATTCCTCAGTAAAGTACAGCACATCTCAGCTTCTAGTGGTGAACTGTCAAGAAGAATTAATGAATTAGAGATTTATGCCTACACTCCTGAGAGGATTTTACGTGTATTACCATAACCCTGAGATTTATGTTTGGGGTGCTTTGTTGTGAAAAAGAAAACCTGAGTATATAGTTACGAAACTTAAAATATTTCCCTATAATCTGAATGTTTACTCCTGCAGTCTAAGCAGAAACTTGAAGCCATCTATTTTTTTTTTAATATCCCTATGGAAATTATACTATTAAGAAGATCACATAAGCCTTACTGTAAGCAGAACTGTGCCATCTTAGTTTGCTATCCAGAAAAGCATTATGAAGAACATGCAAGTGCTGAAGAATGGGAGAGCCACTGAATTTTGTACGCAGGTATTACTGGTAATGTTTGTACTGAACTAAGCAACTCACTGATATACTTCAAACACTAAGTAAGCATTCAACTAGACTAGTATTTTCAAATGACAAAAGCAGGCATCCCTGTTTCAGGTAGGAAAGAAGGAACAGGGTCAGGTAGGGGCAAGTGCAGGATGAGTGAGCTAGCAGCTGGGAGTCAGCAGCTCGAGAGGTAATTGAGGTGCACGTTCCTGGCAGTTTCTTACCTTGACTCTCTGTCTGAAAGGTTTGTATCTTTGCGTGTCGCGTATTTTCTTCTTAGGATGATCAAGAAATAGCACCTAGAAGAAATTACATTTCCAGTCCAAAGTGTGCTGTTGCATGGGAATTTATACAGCTGAATGTACAGCTTCCTGCTCTTTCCTTCGATCCATTATAAGAGAGAGTTCAAAACCAGGAATGGACAAGACCAAGATCACCCAGACACTGGCTGGATTCAAGAACCACAGTTCTACTCGGTATGAGAAACAGAACTGGATCTGGAGGCACTACCTGCAGTGCTGGTACAGCATGACAGAAGATAGCTGTCTCTGGCAACAATGACCAGACTGCTGAGCTTTGAGGGCTAAGCAAAGCATGCAAACAGGTGGTTTCTTTTTTTCATCATTCTGTTTCTTTCCTGGCTCTTTAGTAAGCAGATCAGTGCTACTAGCAACAGAGTTTGGAAATTGAAGAACTTTAGTGGGCAAGTGACTAGGGCTATACTTAGTGCAGCATCAAATAACAAGAAACTGAGAAAAGGGTGATAAAGCTGTAGTTTCTAGGAGTTTAGGTGTGTTCACCTGATCCAGAAAGATGTATTAGGAATTTAATCAATCTTAAATTTTTGGAGCCTTGTCTTCAAAATAACAAATCTGCAGCCATGTACCTTTAGATCATTGTGTAAAGCATGTCCAACTAGAATCCTGCCATTCAAGATGTCAGCGACCTCCTTCTGAACTGTTTTAAAATCTTCACCTAAAAATACCACACAATGAAACACTTTCCATGAGATGCATAAGACAACTAAGCAAACTACAGCTAAAATACTGCCTCTTTTTTGTGAAGGCAATTGTATCCTTGGGACTGTAGCTCTACAAATTTGTAGAGTACACTAAATCCTCTGCTTGTTACGAGAGCATAGAGAATTCCATAAAGAGCACAGCACTAAAAGGAAATAAACTTCCTATTATTCCCATACCATAATCCATGAGTTAATTTCTTAGTGGCATTAGGGACCACTCGTAAAAAGTACTTTTCCCCCCAGTTTTTCTTAACATGCATACATTTTGTTTTCCATTTCCCAAAACAGGTCTAATTTTTCCAAGCTCAGCCAATGAGGCTTCTGTAATAGCCTGTTAAATTTTCACTCCTGAAAGAACACTTTGGGGGGGGGGGGGGGGGGACTCCTACCTGTATTTATCTTCTCAGGGCGTATGCCACTAACAGCTGTTCTGTAATCAGTCACCTTTTCTGTAGGCTTGACGTACTTGTCATAAACGCACTTTCCAAATTGGTTCACGATGGACACGCGAGCCACAATACTGTCTTCACCCTTGGGTCCCACTCCCACCATCTCACAGTCCATGGCTACAGCTCGTGTCAGCCTAAAAGACAAAGGACAGCTCGGTGACACCTCTGTTACGGGGACCGCATAGTGGAGTTCACACGGTTCACATGTTGATACGAATGGGGAAAACTTGATGGTTTGTCTGTCAGCAGGCTCATGGAGATGTCAGCTTATGCTGTGCACCTGCAAATCACAGTTATTAGAAGATAATCTCGATGCCTCTGCTGCCATCCTGGAATGCCACTCACCCTTCAGAAGCCTTTTCTTTAACCAGCACCTGCTCCACAGACTGTTTGGATTGGCCTGTCTCGAGTCCCAGATTTCTTCGAGCAATTTTTGCTGCTTCAGGTCCTATTGCTGCTTCAATATCTTTTGGATCAACATCGTCAAACCAGATTTCAGCCCTGGTAAGTACAGATTTAATTACATATAACAGTCTTAAAGTGGTCTTGCATCTTTATAGTGTAGGAAAAACTTATTTTTTAAATGAAAAAATTAGCTCTGTGAAAATCAGTCTAGTACTGTCACCTATGCAGGTTTGTTGCTGTATCTGAGGAGTAGGGCCAGCATGCATCTCATTTCCCCCCGCATTTAGTCTGGAAGAGTGCAGGTGTTCTGAATGTACTGCTCCTTATGTACATAGAATCATAGAATTGTTTAGGTTGGAAAAGACCTTTAAGATCATCCAGTCCAACCATTAACCTAACACTACCAAGTCCACCACTAAACCAATTAAGGGTAGAGTAATTAATTTCATGTCTCCCAGACTAAATAGTCACATGCACCTATGATGCCTGAAGCACTCACTCTTTGGGTTGCTGCTCCACATGTTCTTCAGCTTTCCTCCTCTTATGTTTTATCTCACCTTTCTCCTTTAAAATATTGCCATTTTTCTTTTTTTCTTGGCAGCCTTTCCCATTGCTTCTGGTGCCATTTAAACTCTTATCTGTTCCAACCCTCTTGGATTTTGGCTTAGCCAAAGGAGGATTGTCTTTAGCAGAACCATTGTCCATTTTATTGGTGGGCTTGGCCTTTACCACATTCCTGTTCCCATTGACAGCTGGAACTTCTTGGCTATTCCCCACTTTGAGTGGATGCTTCTTTTTGGTGTCCGTTTGACATGTAGAGAGGGACTCGTTGGAGGCATTTGCCTTTTGTTTCAGTAGCTAAAATGACCAAAAAAAAAAGAAAAGAAAAATGGATTATCTCCCTCTCCGTTTCTGACCCCGCCATGGTTCCCGAGGGCTCCTCAGTGCCCCTCAGTGCCAAGCGCCCTGCGCTCTCCGGCTCCAGGGGAATTACCCGCAGCGCGACGTCCCAAATGCCTGCCTCCAGCGCTTTATTTATTGACACAAAGATTCTTATTTTTTTTCTAAAATTGCAATAGACAACGTGGGACGGCGTT